TACCAAATGCATGCATATTTGTTTACAGAAACAACTGAGTTATGAACAGAAAAGTTACCCCACCCCAAAATGTGTATTTACTAAAAATTACTAAGAACCATCATAAAATGACTCAGTACCTGCAATACATTCCATTGGCCGCTGGAACAAAAAATATCAAGGAAGTTTAACTGTGGGGTGGATGCACGGTGGCCCATGCTAACCCATGGACTAACTTCTTTACGTGATTTTGCTTGCTCTCAAAACTTATACAAATATTTACAATGATATAGGCCATGAGGTGAAAATCCTAACGTTCAGTCCCGTTCCGAAATTTTCATAATACTTTCACTCATTATGATAATTATTATAATAATATTTAAAAGCACCAAAAAAAATTCGACCGTCAGAACTTCTGCAAATACGAGAAAATGACGTTTAAACTTACGAAATTGAAAGTTCTTTGCGCTAGATTAGCACACGACATTTTTGAAACGTCACTGTACTCGTTCGAATATTGTATTTTTTATACTTAGTTTATTATTTGCAAATTTCGTATTACTGCTTTAAAAACAAATTTAAAAATTATAATTAGATGCTATCGTCGTTACATCGACACGAAATCGATAATGATAAGTTATTATTACCAAGTGTAGTGTAGTTCCGTCAGTACCTTACCCAGACACATTGTACAATATATTAAAATATTCTTTAAAAAAATGGTGCTGACTGTGCAGGCCCTACCTCACTTAGCTTCGTGAGTGGATTTCCCGTACGGTACGATTGAAAATCGTAATGGTACGGGTTTGGTCTACAGGAGTTCGTGCTTCGAACAGGTCATTCCATTCATAGAAAAAGCCTTTTGATGGAGAAAGTGTACCTTTTTAGCAAAGGTTTGCCTAGACGCAGGGTTCCCGGAACGCCGCCCTTAGCGGCGTGTACGAAGCACAACACAGGCTCAGAAGTGGAACGTGAATTTGATTATGGTTTTGTAGTCAGATTTGCGAGAAAAACTTCAGCTACCCGTATTTCTCGACTGAGACGTCAGTAGGAGCTGTAATTTGTATGGCAAGGAGATTGAGCAACCCTTCATTCATATTAAGAGAATTT